TGGCAAATAGCCCAAGAAAAGGTTAAGTTGTATGATCCAACCAAGTAGAAACCAGGAAGGGGCATGACAGAAAGGACCAAAGGGACCTGTAATTGGTGCCATAAAGTATGGAGAGAGGGGTTGTTGTGGGTTGTGGTACCAGGCAGGCTTCCTTGAAGAAGGAATGCATGGTTTTACCCTGAGGAACGGGAGGAATTGCTATATCTCTGAGTGAAATTTATTTTTCCCTCCCTGTCAAGATTTAAATATAGAATGCAGTGGGGGATAGAAGAAAGGGAATTGAATGAAATGAAAGGCTAACCCCCTTCTGTCCCCCCAGCAATAACAGGGGAAGCCCCGAAAGGTTGGATCATGAACTTGGTAGCAAGCTCCATAATCCTAGTGCATGCTTTTTGCCAACTCTTCCATTTGGGCTTCTGTCGTTACCTTGATAAAATCCTCAGAGCCCAACTACTGTGCTTTAATTAGCAAAGAGGAACAAATAGGCACAGACTGGTAGCTGGACCTTCCCAAGTTCACTCAGCAAGCTGGTGACAAATGGGTAGATAGATCTCCTTCTCTAAACTCCTCTGTACTTGAGTTTTTTGAAATATGTTTATTTTAGGGACTAGAGTTGTGCTTAAGGCAGAGAGTCCTGTCGGGAGTAGAAGGCAGGAGGGAGAGGGTGGGGAGAGAAGGGGTGTGGTACACCTTCTGGAGGCAGGGCACAATTATAAGACGGTCCTTATCTAACAAAAGCAATCAGTGTAACCTGGTTCTGTGTACACTTAATGAATCCCCAACAATAAAAAGAAAAAAGATAGAGCCTCAACTCAGATGTCTCTATGCACAAGTTCTTCTGGGCTAGCAGAAAATGACTGCCTTAGGCCAAATCTAATAAATTGTTTCCTTCTGAGCAATTTGAATGGGGAAAATAGAGAGGAGCTCTCCTTGACCCTCAAGCGCACTAAAGAACACCCTGAGCCTTTGTACTTACTTATCTTGCTTCAGAGCCTGGAGTTAATTCACTCTGGAAAGCTTCAAAAGTCCGGGGAGATTGGTATTCAAAGGTTGGGCTGGGGCACACGTGATATTTTGATACAAGCATATAATGTGTAATGATCAATTCCGAATAATTGTGTAATCGTCTCGAACATGTCTCAATTCTTTTTGTGTGCTGGGAACATTCCGAATTCGTTCCTCTAGTTACTTTGAAATATATGATAAATTACTGTTAACCATAGTTGCTCTAATGTGCTTCCAAACACTAGATCTTGTTAAGCTATTATGTATCCATAAAAATAAAAAATAAAAAATTAATTAAAAAAAGATGTGTTGCCTAGGGTCCCCCAGTGGATCCCATTTTTATTTTAATGGAAGGATTGGTCCAAGTAAACTGGTTTGCCATTGCCAGAAGCAGAGTTGATCAGCAGTCAATTTTAACATACATTTCTCTCAGTAACAGATAAGAAGATAAAAAAACTCAACAAGGATATAGAAGATTTGGACAACATAAATAAGAATGTATCTATTCAACATATATAGAAAAGAATTCAGAATTACTGTAGAATACATATGACATTTTAAATATTTCAATAAATATCAATATATCTAAATCAAACTGACCCTATTGTAATTAAGTTAGAAATAAGTGAAATAAAATAGCTGGAAAGATTTTCCATATGATTAAAAGTTAATCTAAGGAACCACAGGTCAAGGATGAAATAACAATAGAAATATTTTGAAGTAAAAAATGATCTTTCCTCCCCTTATTTATTTTTATTAAATCATAAATACATAAATCATGTATACATTACTGCATTGATTTTTTCCTATTCTTTTTCTGTTTTCAATGTCATTGATTTCTTCTCTTATCTTTATTGTTTCCTTCCTTATTCTTGCTTTGAGTTTATTTTCCTGTTTTTTCCCTAAGTTCCTGAGGAGGGAGCTTAGATTATTAATTTTAGATTCTTCCTCTTTTTTATTTAGGGCTATAAATTTCCACTGCTGTGGTTGTGCTCCCCAAACTTTGATGTATTGTATTTTCATTTTCATTCAATGCAATGTATTGTCTTATTTCTCTTGGGACTTTCCCTTTGACTCATGAATTATTGAGAAATGTGTTATTTGATTTCCAAATGTTTGAAGATTTCCTTGTTATCTTTCTGTTACTGATTTCTAGTTTGATTCCCTGTGATCAAAGAAAACACTTTGTATGATGGGATTGTATTTATTTTAAACTTACTGCGATTTGTTTCATGGCCCAGGATGCAGTTTCTCTTGGCTCTGTGGGTACTTGAAAAGAATGTTTATTCTGCTGTTGTTGAGTAAACCATTCTATGGAATTGTAATAGAAATTGTAATACTCAAGTCACGTTTGATTTCTGCAATTATAAGAGGTGCTCAAATGGGACTTGTACTCATCTTTTGTTATTGGCATATATTGAATATTGCAATTTTAGTAATTTCTTTCCTTTCTTAAAATGTGTATACATTTTTTGGGACCCTCTGCATTTAATGTATTAACAGTGACAAAAAAAATATTTTATTTGTGGTGTTTAAGAAAAGTAAGGTAGGCCAGGCGTGGTGGCTCACGCCTGTCTGTAATTCTAGCATGCTGGAAGGCCAAGGGGGGGGGGGAGTGGATCACTTGAGCTCACAAGTTGGAGACCAGCATGAGCCAGAGAGAGACCAGCATGAGCCAGAGAGACCCCATCTCTCAAAATAGCCAGGCATCGTGGTGGATGCTTATAGTCCTAGCTACTTGGAAGGTTGAGTCAAGAGGGTAGCTTGAACCCAAGAGTTTGAGGTTGTTAACCCCCAGACTCAATTCAAGCACCATTCTGAGAGTCCGAACATCGCTGCAAAGGCACAAGGAGTTTTATTCATTCAAGCTCAGAGCCTGGGCTGCCCTTTAAGAAAAAGTGGGAACAGCCCTTACAGACTATTTAGAAAGTCCCTTTATACCTCTCCCTCTTCCCTCCCATTAGACCATCCCACCCCATCCCCTTATTGGTAGGTAAACCATGTCTGTCCTAAATTGACAGGTACAGGGTGGTTGTGTTCAGGGTTGATTGGCTCAGGGACGAGTCTTCTTTGTCTCAGGTGAGCAAATGAGAAGGAAAGGATAAAGGTCGCAAGTGGGGCAAGTGCAGAATAGAGTGAAGAGTGCAAAAAGGGGAGGGGGTCAGGATGTGGCCTGAGTGCACAATGGGGCTAGTGGGACAAAGGGGAGGGGGTCAGGATGTGGACTGTAACACCTAGGTATGGTAAGGTCCTATTGTTCTGAATAAACAGCAAAAGGAAGTAGTTTGACTTGTGACTTGAGTTAATTAGTTTGGCTCTTACAAGGTTGCTGTGAGCTACGACACCATGACACTCTACCAAGGGTGACAAAGTGAGATTCTGTTTCAAAAATAAATAAACAAATAAATAAATAAAGGAAAAAGTAAAGTAATCAAAACTGATAGTATGTTAAAGCATTCTAAAATTTGTATTAGTCAGAAAGAAGGTAAAGATGTTGACTGGCTTAGATCTTGTTAATTTAATTAATTATGTTAAACATGTATAATTTAAATTCCAGAATAACCACTAAAAGAATAGAAATGTATAAAAAAATAGAAATGCATTATAAAACTTCCAGACTAGTAGAGAGTATTAAGAAAAATTGGAATAAAAGGGAAAATTCAGTCAAAAGAAGAGAGAGCATTGAGGGGGAAAAACATAGAGAAAGGATCTGTGATTATGTCTCTTTGGTAGGAAAGGCATGCAATAAAAGCATTCATTCAAAATGTAAAAGACAAACCAATAAAGCTTTTAGAAGATCACTCTTAAACCTGGAAGATATTTCTAATACCCATAATTGACAAAAGACTAGGATTCAGTAGAATTTAGCAAGAAAAAGTCAGACAACCTTAGAGAAAAATGAGCAAGAGACTTGAACAGGAAATCGTAAGAAAGGGTATCCATGCATGGTTAATAAAGATATGAAAAGGTGTTCAACCTCATTAGTATTTAAGAAATCCAAATTAAGTCTAGAATGTTGTACTTTGACATTTCTATTAGAATGGTAAAAGCAAAAAAGATCTTGGCAATACTATGTACGGCATAGACATGGAACAATAGGGATTCTCAATTACCACTGGTAAGATTATGAGTTGGTACAAATTCTTTGGGAAATAGTTTGGCCTCCGCTGGAGAAGTTGAAGATACACAGAGGCTGCAACTCAGCTATCTCAATCCTAAGTATATAACCTAGAAGAATACCTGCCCATGTGCTTCCACAAACATGTAGAAAGCATTCATGGCTGCTTTCTTCATAGTAGCTCTCCACTGTAGAGTGAAGGTATGGTGCATATTCATGCAATAGGTGATACAGCAATGAAAATGAATAGAATACAGCTACACACGACAATGAGGATGAAACTCATGAAAAGAATGTTGAGCACAAAGAGGGAGACACAGAAGAATCCATCCTAAGTGACTCCATTGAGAAGAACAGAAGCAGACAAAAACAAAAATATGCGTTTGGGCGAATGAATACTTAGATTTGGAAAATAGGAAAAACAGTGAGAGAGTTATTGAAGAAACTTCTCGAAGACAGGCAGAGGCTGTGATTGGAAAAGAAAAGGACAGGTTAGAAGGAGCAGCAAGTCTCGGAAATCTTCTTCTCAATCTCAGTGATAGTTTAATGAGTGGCTTGTCAGATTAAACATTAATGTTTAAGGTATGTTCTTATGTTTGCTTTTTGGCACATTATATAATTTTACCAAAAGGAAAGTAGTTCTTCCTCCTTCTCTCCTTTTGTTCACTAACTGAACCAGTCAGTCCTAACACCATTAGATAGGGCAGAACCAGGTAGGCGTTTGCCCCAAGGGAAAGGGAGCCATGGTGGCTCTGTGTGGGTGGCCGAGCCTGAACAGGTCAGCAGGGCATTTCTGTAGGAGGCCAGCTGGCCTCAGGCGTTGGAGCCAGAAGCCAGTGAGGAGAATGCCCAGTGAGGGGGAGGGGAGCAGCGTAGCATGCAGGGTCAGCCTGAGCTGGCTGAGAAAGAAGGCTCCCAGGGCTGGGGGCAGCTGGCACAGCCTGAGAACCCAGTGAGGTGAGGAGGGCGTCCATGCAGGGGAGCAGCTGAGTGAAGAGCCTTAGGGCTGAAGTGGAGTGATGAGGCCTGGTGTGCATGGTGGAAATGAAGGAGGGTGAGGCGGGTATCCATGGGGCTGGGGGTGGGAAGGCAAGACCTAATACAGGGTAACAAACCCTAAGCGGGGTGAGGGGGGTGTCCGTGTATGGGGAAGCCAGGCATGGAGAGTCAGAGCCCAAGGAGATGGAGGAGAATATCTAGAATTTGGGGTGAAAGCAAAAAAGATTCTGGCAGTACTATGTACTAGAATTTAGGGTGGGCTCCCATGGGAGGCCAGGACCAAGCACACTAAGGAAGGGTTTTCCCTGGTGTGGGCAATCAGAGCCTAAGTGAGGCCAAGAGGGCCATCAACCCACAGGAGCAAACTCAGGTGGAGCCCAAGGAGGGTGAGGGGGCCATCAACGGGGTAAGGGGCCCAGTGAGGGGAGTCAGAGCCTGAACAGAGTAAAGTTTGATATTTCCTGAAAAGAAACAAGCAAATACACATGCATACAAACACATACACGCATGTTTTAATACACACACACACGTCCAGAAAGTATACAGCCAAGTGTGTCTCTCTTTTGCCTGGAGCATGGCTGGATACTTTCTGGACAGCCCTGGTACACCTATGTATATATACTTTTTAAAAATTACATTTTAAAGCATTTAAAGAATTAAAATAGGACTCATAGTGGTAGGTTAGGTTATTCTTCACAATTATGCATTCCATCCTTCCTTTAAGAGGATTACATCCCTGCCCCTTGCCTCACGACACCCAGAACCTTTTCCATAAGGACGAGCAGCCTGGCCTCATTGACTCTGGGTTTGACCGTAAGCTGTGCTTTGCCCTTGGGAACATGAGCAGATATAACACAAGCATTGTGAGTTTCACGTTACGGGTTTCTGCCAGCTCCTCTGTTTTTCTTCACGGCCACGGAAGGGGCCTGATCTGGGCAGAGACCGCTCCTGAGTCCCACAGCCTGGAGCAGAGCCCCTGCCTGGCAAAGGCAGTGGGCAACTTACAACTTGGATGTATCTTGAACAGGAAAACACTTTTGTTGTGGAAAGCCATTGAGAGTTCGAGGTTACTTATTTGTATGCCAACAAAAGCAAAACTAATAAAAATAGAGATTATTCTCATTATTTATGGTAGTTGTGTTCTATAAAATCATGGCAAATACAGAATTAGCAAATAACTGAGCTCCTGGGAAGACACAAGATTAGTTTCCTGTGAGCCTCTTGCCACATAACCTTGTGTACTTCTGTTTAAAGACATCTTATGTAATATAGTATATTGGGTTTTTTTGTTTTTTGTCTTTTTTTAAATTAAATCATAGCTGTGTACATTAATGCAATCATGGGGTACAATATGCTGGTTTTATATACAATTTGAAATGTTTTCATCAAACCAGTTAACATAGCCTTCACCACATTTCACCACATTTTCTTAGTTATTGTGTTAAGACATTTATATTCTATACCTAGTAAATTTCACATGTACCCTTATGAGAAGCACTGTAGGCTCAGCGCCTGTGGCTCAAGTAGCTAAGACGCCAGCCACATACACCTAAGGTGGCAGGTTCGAGTCCAGCCTGGCCGGCCAAACAACAATGACAGCTGCAACCAAAAAAATAGCTGGGCATTCTGGCAGGTGCCTGTGGTTCCAGCTACTTGGGAGGCTGAGGCAGGAGACTTGCTTGAGCCTAGGAGTTGGAGGTTGCTCTGAGCTGTGATGCCACAGCACTCTACCCAGGAGGACAGCTTGAGGCCCTGGCTCAAAAAAAAAAAAAAAAAAGAAGCACTATAGGAGTGTTCCCACCAATTACTCTCCCTCCCCCCATCCTCCCTCCTCCCCTCCCTCTCCCCTTTCCCCTTCTTCTTGGGCTATAAATGGGCTTTCATAGTAAGACTGAGTACATTGGATACTTTTTCTTCCATTCTTGAGATAGTTTGCTAAGAAGAATATGTTCCAGCTCCATCCATGTAAACATGTAAGAGCTAAAGTCTCCATCTTTCTTTAAGGGTCGATGTGTTTTTTGCTTTTTTAAGACACAGTCTCATTCTGTTGCCCTGGGTAGGATGCTGTGGCATCACAGCCCACAGCAACCTCAAACTCTTGGGTTCAAGAGAATCTCTTGCCTCAGCCTCCCAAGTAGCTGAAACTCCAGGTACCCACCACAATGCCTGGCTAGTTTTTCTATTTTTATTAGAGATGGGATCTCTTTCTTGCTCAGACTGGTCTTGAACTCCTGAGCTCAAGCAATCCACCCATCTTGACCTCCCTGAGTGCTAGGATTACAGGCATGAGCCACTACACCAGCCAAAATATATATTGTCTCATTAACCTCGAATCATTGCCAATAGCACTATAACTGATGCCTGAATAAAGCTTATCTAACACGTGAAATGTTGGCTTTGCAAGGCCCATCGCGGCCTTCCTGCACTTAGGAACCGCACATAGGAATACTAGATAGCACTTCAGCACAACTCTTGGGGGTTATTTTAAACAACTAAATCACTCAGAAAAAACACAAAAGTGGAAAAGATGCAGCACTAACCAGACTATAAAAAGGATATTTGTTTACAGCATGAAAGCTGAAACAAGAAAGAAGACTTCAGCTGGAAAATGTGCATATTTGGGGGCTGCAAATTTTTGCCTCTCTTCATGAGTAATTGCAAAAGCATCGTGAGTATTGATTCTGGGGGTAGCAAACGCAGTTTAGCAAGGAGACACATTTCCAAGTACAGAATCTGGGCATAATGAAAACAGAGTGTAGCAAACGTATAAGACTGTAGAAAGGAATCCACATACGTCATTCGTGTCCTCAAATGTCACTTCCTAGGTAAAGATTGCTGGAATGGATTTTTACATTGTAGATTTACACTATTCGAAAAATAAACACAAAACAGAACTCCACGGAATGGTTAAAAACAAAAGGATGGAAATGAGACTAAATAAAGGCACACAAAAAAGAGAAGGTTTGGTTAGAGTCATATCAGGCACTGGAGAACTCAAATATAAAGATTCATTTTGGGGATATAGAAGGGGTCATTGGATAATGATAAAAAATTCGCTGCACCAGGCATGTGTTTTTATTTACCTAAATGAATAGAATCAGGGTATATAAAGCAAGCTCTGATAGAATTACAGGCATAAATCTATGGCCATGTTGAGAGCCCTCAACTCACTTTTTTCAATTATCGATAGTTCCAAAGGACAAAAAATTAGACGGGTCTAAAATATTTAAACGACACACTATGGAAATATACACGGTGTACTTGGTACTCAGTAGAATACCTCTCTTTTTCAGTGTCACAATGTAGATAGCTGAGTAGGAGTTTATTTAGGAGATGATGTTTTTGGAGGAGTGTCACTTTGCCTGAACTTAGGGCAAGGTGCATTAAAGAGATTCATGGAGCTAGTTGTCCTCAAGATCTCCTGCCTGGGGACAGAAGCTAAAGGCACATTTCTGGTTGAGCAGCCCTGTACCAGAACATGCAGGCCATGCCTTTGAGAGGAGGAGGGGTGTGAGCGAGGAGCTCTCAGCCATGGAACTGGCTGGGACTGGGTGAGCGCTCAGTGGGGACGAATCCTAGGGGGTTGTAGGATGTAGTACAATCATAGTGGGGCCTTACCTGTAGTTCCTGGAGTTTGTAATCTGAAAATTCCTCATTGCCCCCTCCCTCAACCCCAGCTCCCTGGCCTTTCAGTTGCAAAATGCTGTTGAGATTACTGCAAAACAGCAGCCTCTGGCTTTGGGGGAAGCTGGGCAAAAAGGTAGGCTCTGGGAAGTGTGGACCTGTTAGCAATATTAATTCTTCCCATCTCTAAACATGAGATAGCTTTCCATCTGTTTGTATTTTCTCCAATTTCTTTCATTAATGCTTTGTAGTTTTCAGAGTGCAGATCTCTTACTTCCTTGTTTGATTTTACCCTGAAGTATTTTCTCGGTGCTACCGTAAAGGGGGTTTTCTTAATTTGTATTTCAGATAGTTGGTGGTTGGTGTGTGGAAACGCTACTGATGTGGTATGTGGGCTTTGTTTCCTGCAACTTTACTGAATTCCCTGATCAGCTCTAACAGTATTCTGGTGGAGACTTTACGGTCTTCTTATAGATAGGATCATGCCATCAGGAAACAGAGGCAATTCCCCTCCTATTCCTATGTGGATGACCTTTAGTTATTTTTCCTGCTAATTACTCTGGCTAGGACTTCCGGTACTCCATTGGTCAAAAGTGGTGACAGTGGGCATTCTTGTCTTGTGCCTGATCGTAGAGGAAAGCTTTCAACTTTTCACTCTTGAGTGTGACAGCTGGTCATATGTGGCCTTTTTTGTGTTTTCCTTCTCTTTCTCATTTGTTGTAAACATTTTTATTATGAAAAAATGTTGAATTCCATTTTCTGCATCTACTAGATGATCATGTGAATTATAGTCTTCCTTCTGTTAAGACGATGTGTCATGTGTATTGATTCGTATATGTTAAACCAACTCTCTATGCCAGGGATAAATTCCACCTGATCGTGGCGAACAATCCTCTTAATGTCCTGTTGAACACAATTTACCAGTATTTTGTTGAGGAGTTTTTGCATCTATGTTTCTGAGAGACATTGGCCTGTAATTTTCTCCTCTCATAGTCTTCTTGTCCAGCTTCAATATCAGGATAAGGCTGGACTTGTAGATTGAATTTGAAGGTATTCCCACACCTTTAATTTGGGGGGAGATTTGAGAATGATTGGCATTAGTTCTATAGTGGAGGTTTGGTGGGATTTGGCTGTGGACCCATCAAATCCAGGCTTCTCTTTGATGAGAGAGTTAATTACTGATTCAATCTCTTAATTTTTTTTTCTCTATGCAGCTTTTATATTTCTTCATGATTCAATTTTGGTAGGCTATATACTTCTAGAAAAAAAAGGTTTTTTTTGAGACAGTTTCACTATGTTACCCTCGGTAGAGTGCTGTGACATCACGGCTCACAGCAACCTCAAATTCTTGGGCTTAAATGATTCTCTTGCCCTAGCCTCCCAAGAAGCTCACTACAGGCACCCGCCACAACGTGCGGCTATTTTTTGGTTGTAGTTGTCATTGTTGTTTGGCAGGCCCGGGCTGGGTTCAAACCCACCAGCTCCAGTGTATGTGGCTGGCATCCTAGCCACCGAGCTACAGGCGCCAAGCCTACTTCTAGAAATTTATCAGTTTCCTTTGGGTTATTCAATTTATGTATAATGGGTCACAATCTTTATCAAAATTTTAATGATATTTTTCACAGAAATTGAAAAAAACATCCTAAAATTTGTATGAAGTTACAACAAACTCTGAATAGCCAAAGAAATTTGGACCAAAATGAAGAAAGCTTGAGGCTTCACGTTATCTGATTGCAAAATATACTACAGAACTGTAGTATAAAAGCACATGGTACTGACATAAAAACAGACATATAGATCAATGGAACAGAATAGGAATAAATCTATGCATTTACAGTCAATTGACTTTTAACAAAATTGTCAAGAACACATAATGGAGACGGTCTCTTCAATAAATGGTGTTGGGAAAACTGGATCCCCATGTGAAGAAAAATGAAATTGGACTCTTGTCCCATACATACCATATAAAACAATAAATCAAAATGGACTTGGGCTAAAGATCTAACTGTAATAACTGAAACTATAAAACCTCTAGAAGACATAGGGGGAAAGCTCCATGACATTGGTCTGGGCAGTGTTTTTTTTTTTGAGACAGAGCCTAAAGCTGTCGCCCTGGGTAGAGTGCTGTGGCATCACAGCTCACAGCAACCGCCAACTCTTGGGCTTAAGCAATTCTCTTGCCTCGGCCTCCCAAGTAGCTGGGGCTACAGGCGCCTGCCGCAACATGTGGCTATTTTTTGGTTGTAGTTGTCATTGTTGTCTGGCAGATTTGGGCTGGATTTGAACCCACCAGCTCTGGTGAATGTGGCTGGCGCCTTAGCCGCTTGAGCTCCAGGCGCCGAGCCTGGGCAATGATTGTTTTGGATGTGATCCTGAAAGTAGAATAGAAGCAGAAATAGACAAAATGAGACTGCATCAAACTAAAAAGCTTCTTCACAGCTAAGGAAACAATCAACAGAGCAAAGAGACAACTTACAGAATGGAAGAAAATATTTGCAAATCATTTATCTGATAAGGAGTTAAGCTACATAATGTAAATACATTCCTCCATATAAGGAATTCAACAGCTCAATAGCAGCAGAACAAGTAAGTCGATTTTTTAAATGAGCAAAAGATTTGAATAGACGTTTTTTCTTTTTTCTGTTCATGTCTCTTGCCCAACTTTTTTTTTTAATCATTTCAGGTTAATTGAGGGTACAACAAATTAAGTTGCTTTGTTTGCATCTGTTAAGTAAAAGCCCCTCTTATAATTGTGTCCCCCCCCAAGGGGTGCGCCATAGGAGCGCACCCATCCTCCACCCTCCACCCCTCTCCTAGTTCCTTCCTTTCCCCTCCCCCCACCTTGAATTGATTTGAGTTTTCCTCTTCTGTGGGTGTATATTAGACTGTCTACTGGCTTCATATTAGAATTGAGTACATTGGAATCTTGCTTCTCCATTCTTGGGATACTTTACTAAGAAGAATGAGTTCCAACTTTATCCAGGTTAATACACAAGATGTAAAGTCTCCATCTTTTTTAATGGCTGAATAATATTCCATGCTTTACATATACCATTCGTCTGTCTTCCTCAGAGAAGGTTCTGGTCATATTTCTTGCCCACTGATAAATGGGATTGTTAACTATTTTTTTTGTTGATTTTGTTGATTTTTTTTGTTGAGTTCCCTATAGATATGCAATATCTTTTCCCATTCTGAAGGTTATCTATTTGTTTTGATTGTTGTGTCCTTAGCTGTGCAGAAGCTTTTAAGTTTGAGTCCCATTTCTTTATTTTTGTTGGTGTTGCAGTAGCCATGGAAGTCATCTTCATAAAATCTTTCTCCAGTCTGACATCGTTGAGAGTTTTTCCCACACTTTCTTCTAGGATTTATCATTTCACGCCTTAGATTTAAATCTGTTATTCATCTTGAATCAGTTTTTGGAAATGGTGAAATGTGTGGGTCCAGTTTCAGTCTTTTACGTGTGGTTATCCAGTTCTCCCAGCACCTAAATGGACATTTCCTAAAAGAAGACACAGAAATCGCCAGCAGGTTTGTTAGAAAATGCCCACATCCCTAATCACCAGAGAAATGCAAATAAAAGTCACAATGAGATATCATCTCACAGCTGTTAGCATGGCTGCTATCAAAAAGATAATAGATAGAAAATGTTGGCAAGGATGTGGAGAAAGGGGGATGCTTGCGTATTTACAATAGAATACTATTCAGCCTTTTAAAAGAAGGAAATTCTATCATTTGCCACAACATAGGTACTTATAAACCTGAAGGATATTATGCTAGTGAAATATGCCAGGCACAGAAAGACAAATATCACGTGATCTCACTTCTCTATTTTGAGACAGAGTCTCACCATGTCACACCCGGTAGAGTGCCATGGCATCACAGCTCACAGCAACTTCAAACTCTTGGGCTAAAGCAATTCTCTTGCCTCAGCCTCCCAAGTAACTAGGACTACAGGCACCTGCCACAACGCCTGGCTATTTTCTGTTGCAGCTGTCATTGTTGTCTAGCTGGCCCAGCCTGCGTCCAAACCCGCCAGCCTTGGTGTATGTGGCTGGCGCCCTAACCACTGTGCTATAGGCGCTGAGCCACATGATCTCACTTTTAAGTGGCATCTAAAAAAATTGAACTTACGGAAGTTTTTGAAACTCTGGGAGTTAATACAGTAGGCCATTATTCATTTTTACACCTTGACATAAAAACTACACTACGGGTTATAGATGAGAGAGAGATACGGAAAATGAGGGCTTGAATAAGTGAGAAAGGAGCATCTGTTTATCCTGTCTGGGAGCCTCATAAAATACTAAGCCTGGGTAGCAACAGAAGACCAAGAGGACTCTCTTGATTAACCCAAGGTCATCTGGGCTCTGTTTCTGCGGAGCGAGATCCAGTAGGGGCCTTCTGGAACATCGCATAACATCAGCTTCTGTTTTTCAGGGGAACAAAGACAAGATGCTCACTAGTGTCTGGGGTTGAACCAGGAGCAACTGTGGGCAAATCAGCCCTGCAGGTGTTCCCAACAAATTTCTGTGATCATTCAAGTGTGGCCTCTTACCCAGGAGCAAGACAGCACACGCCGTGTCTGGCTAGGACAAAGTACAGCACCATGGCAGAATATGGGGCCATCAGATAGGGTCCTGGAACTGAATGTCCTAGACCTTCCCTGACTCACCCTCTGACCTCAGACAAATCCCTGCTGCATTCTGGGCGTCAGTTTTCTTGTCCATGAACTAAGGGAATCTGGTGGGTCATCTACATGCACTTTTGGCCTCTCTAGATGGTACCTAACTCCTGCCTCTCTTCTTCTCATCCTCAACAGGCACCTTCCCCTCCACATCTCCGCCCTCTCCTGGAGGAATGTAGCTTTCCTGGTGCTTCTCTCTCTCTCTTTGGACCAGACCTCTGCGACGCTGACCAACAAAATCCAACGTGGGTTCAAAAAAGCTGCCGCACTTCTTTTGTAGGAGACATTCTTGGGGATGGAGGGTTGGACATGAGGCAAGGACTAGTGTCAGATGAAGCCACCTCGGCTGTGGGTAGACAGCTACCCTGCTCACTGCCTTGACCCTCCAAGTCCTTTCCTCACCTGATCCCTCCAAATCATTTCCCTAACTTTTCCTGATATGTGTTTTTCCAAGTTTAATTATTTTTATATTTATTTATTTATTTTGAGACAGGTCACTGTTGGTAGAGTGCTGTAGCGTCTTAGCTGACAGCAACCTCATGCCCTTGGGTTCAAGTGATTTTCTTGCCTCAGCCCCTCCCAAGTAGCTGGGACTACAGGCACCCACCGTATTTTTAGAGATAGAGTCTCTCTCTAGCTCAGGCTGGTCTTGAACTTGTGAGCTCAGGCCATCTACCCACCTTGGCCTCCCAAGTGCTGGGATTACAGGTGTGAGCCTTCCCGCCTGACTAATTGTTTTTAAATTAATGAGTCCTCTGGGCGGTGCCTGTGGCTCAGTGGGTAGGGTGCTGGCCCCATATACTGAGGGTGGTGGGTTCAAACCCAGCCCCGGCCAAACTGCAACAAGAAATAGCTGGGTGTTGTGGCGGGCGCCTGTGGTCCCAGCTACTCAGAAGGCTGGGGCAAGAGAATCGTCTAAGCCCAGGAGTTGGAGGTTGCTGTGAGCTGTGTGCTGCCATGGCACTCCACTGAGGGCGATAGAGTGAGACTCTGTCGCTATCAAAAAATAAATAAATAAATAATGAGTCATCAGGCTTGAGCCTGAGGAGAGAGGTCTGGTGAGGAGGCTGATGTGATAGTTAAAGAAAGAAGGGGAGGTGAGTTCAGGTGCTGACCTGAGGGAGTGGCCATGCAGAGGGAGAGGACAGGGGCTTGGAGAGAAATTTCAGAGATAGTTGACCAAAACCCATAACTAATAGGATGCTGGGTCTCAGAGAGAGATGAATGAATCTCTGGATTCTAAAGAGTGTACCTGCTGATGCCAAATATCAAGATGGGGGACAGAGAATAAGGGGGTGCTGCCTACACACGATGAGACACTAGCTCTGCCTTAAGCGTGTTAGAACAGAGGTGCTCACAGGATGCCCAAATGAGATCTTTCCAGGCAGTTGGAAATAAGTGCCTTCAGTTTGGAATAGAGGCTTGGCCTGGAGAGAGATGTGGGAATCACAGTCGATGTCATGGGAATAGATGTGATCACCAGGAGACAGATGAAGTCAGAACTCCCAGTAGATGAAGAGGGAGCCCTGGGGTGCGGGTATCAGGAAGGAGGGTATACACACAAGGCAAGTGGCTGAGAAAGGCCAAGCAGGCAGGGGGGGAGAGTTTTAAAAGAGAACTCAAGCTGACAGTGGGGGAGGAGCTACCATGACTAAAACTCAACCAAAGGCACAGAAGGCTCCTGAAAGCAGGAGGGAGGCTGACCTCAATACCCGTGTGGCCTGGTTTGTCTGCACAATCCCAAGGCTACCCTTTCTATGCCTCTTTACCACTATGGAAGTGTCTCTTTTGGATTTTATTAACTCTCCCTCTGCCCAAACCTAGAACAATGGTTCCCGAGTAGAAGCCTACATCCTGGTGCCCAACTCCCTGTTCCAGGATCACCTTTTTCACTAGCAGGGGCCTCTCTTTCTAGAGATTCTGATTCAAGCCAGAGCCTGTATTTTCTGGAAGATGCATAGATGATTTGGATGTATGCTCCAAATTAGGAACCACATATTCTCTTTAGCTTCAAGCCACACTTGGAGGGTGCATTAAGGGTGCCAGGAAGGATAGGAAGTGTAGCTAGAAAGTGCTAAAACTCTCAGTGGCCGATCTTCAGGGAAGGTGGGGCTTCTGATGTGACTCCTGGACTATAAATTCCAGACTTGCCCTTAATTCACTCTATTGTCCTGTCTGGCCTCGTTTTTATAAAACCTGCGATATCAGGGGGTTGGCGCTAACGGTAAGTATGTTACTTCCAATTCTGAAGTCCTCTAATTCCAAGACTCAGTAGTATCCAGGGGGATCATTCTTCTTTAGTCAGATTCCACAGAAGAGATGTCCACTTTCCAGCCACAGAGCCACACCAAGCACTATATTATCCATCTATGGTTGTGCAATACATTTTCTGTACGTCAGGAGTCTGGCATGGGGCATCTGGGTTCTTAGCTCAGGTCCTCAGCAGCCTGAGCTCTAAGTGTCAGACAAGGCTGTAGTTCTCATTTGGTACACAGGATCTTCTTCCAGCATCACGAGTTGTCAGCAGAAACCTTTCCTTGAAGTTTGAGACTGAGGCTCCCTACTGGTTGTCCGTTCTAGAGGTCACCCTCATTCCTTAGCACGTGGCCTCAGCCATCTTCCAAGTTACCATCTGGATCCTTTTCATAGTTTGAATCTCTCCGACATCTTCTTTACCAGCCAGAAGAAAACTTTGCTTTTAAAGGACCAAATTGGTTAGGCCTGGTCCACTTGGCTCTTCTCTGATCTTTAAGGTCAACTAACGTGGGACTTTAATTTTTCTGCTCAGTCTCTTCACAGTAGTATCTAGATTCTTATTTGAGTCAATCGCCAGAGGATGGGACTCTTGGGGGTGCAACTATAACATTCTGCCTACCACAAGCACTGAAATCCAGGAGCCAGGTCTAACCCTGGAAAGGGAAGAAGTAACTCCAAATCTTCTGAGTTCTTATTTTGTGCCAGGTGCCGTGGTAAGTGCATTATGAAGATCATTCCTCCGAACTCTTACCAGCAGCCCGTAAGGCAGGGATTGCCATTCTCATTTTCAAAGTGGAAAACTTCTGACTCAGAAAAAATAAAATACTTTCTCAAGATATTTAGCTAGCTCGTGTTGGAGCCAGGATCTCAAGACAGTTAAGACTGTCCTTCTTCCACTCCACCATTCCTTTCCTCCTTAGAGGTAACTTGGAAGTCATATAGTCAAACTCAGATTGGTCTTGGGTTCACAGGAGTCAAGGGCCAAAGGTAAACCTCCTGACTCCTATTTCCTTGATGTTTCCAGGGCTCCTTAACTGATTTTCCCTGTCAGCTGAGATACTAGAGGCAAAGGAATTAAGCACTAAACTATTAGGTTTCTAGAAGAGAGGGGTGTTCCTGAATTTAAGGCCGTTTGAGGGCCCTACCTAACCCCTTGCCCTAGAATCCAAGTTGCTGCTCTTTAAGTTCTTCCTGGGCATGAATCCCTGATTCAGACCCCCTCTACGGACTAAGAGTGATAAGAGATAGATCTCCTAAACAGAAGCAGATCAAGATGTGAAAATTGAAGCTAGAGGACAGGGCTGAGAGAATTTCATACTCGCCTTGGCCGTTGGAGGCAAAGAGCTAAAACTCTCAAGGGATGTGAGTTTGGGCATTTCTTTCTTGCAGAGAAACCAGGAACGTGCATCCCAGAAAGAGTCAACTGTTTCTTAAAACAGGTCAACTTCTGCCAAGCGGATTTTGAGTGCGAGGAATCCCTGAAGTGCTGCACTTTTGGCTGTAGGAGGAGGTGCATGGATCCCTATCAAGGTAGTAGCGTCTGGATTGAGGGTAGAGTTACCTTTTGAGGTTTCCCTCTTTTTGCTCAGCCCATACCTGACTGGCTGGCAGCACAAAGAGGCCAGGGTCATACTTTTCTCATTTTCTTCTTCAACTCCCAACCATCAAGTACAAACCATGAGTCTAGGCATAGCAGCCACCAACTAGATAATATTGATGCTAGTCTTCCTTGGTCCAAATTCAATTATTTACAAATAACTAATACTTGTTGCATACTCACTCTGTGTCAAGAGACTAGTTGCTGGGGTCATTTTGGGGCTTTTTGGTCCTCTAGGAGGTTTTCTGGTAACTCAGGGAACTGTGTGTTTTATATAGATTCTTTCATTCATTTACTCAGTCATTCATTCATTCTTTTTTTAAAAATTTTTTTGAGACAGAATCTTACTCAGTTGCCCCTGGCTAGAGTGCCATGGTGTCATAGCACATAGGAACCTCAAACTCCTGGGCTCAAGAGATCCTCTTGCAGGCCAGGTGTGGTGGCTCATGCCTGTAATCATAGCACTCTGGGAGGCTGAGGCGAGTGGATATTGCCTGAGCTCACAAGTTTGAGACCAGCCTGAGCAAGAGCGAGACCTCCATCCAAAAATAGCCAGGTGTTGTGGCAGGCGCCTGTAGTCCCAGCTACTTGAGAGGCTGAGGCAAGAAAAGAGCTTACACCCAAGAGTTGGAGGTTGCTGTGAGCTATGATGCCATGGCACTCTGTGGAGGGTGACAAAGTGAGACTCTGTCTCAAAAAAAAAAGAAAAAGAGATCCTCTTACCTCAGCCTCCCAAGTAGCTGGGACCTCAAGGCGTGCACCACTGCACTTGGCTAGTTTTTCTATTTTTAGTAGACAGTGGGTCTCAATCTTATTCAGGCTGCTCTTGAACTCCGGGACTCAAGGGATCCTCCCACCTCGGCCTCCCAGAGTGTTAGGATTATTGACACGAGCCACCGCCTCCAGTCTCATTCATTCATTTATTCAGCAAATATCTATTGTCCATGTCCTTTGGACAAAGACCGCCAGGGACACACCTGCAATTGAAGAAGTTGGGTTTACTACTTGTTGCAATGCAGGATACTCACCATAGATGAACATGAGGCATCTCAGTAAGAAGCTGTTACAAACAATCTATTATAAGATTTGGGGTTTGATTGGGTAATATGGGGAAGTGTCCAAAGAAGGGAGGGTTTGCTCCAGATTGCAATTCTAAACCCAACATGCCTAACAAAGTGCCTGATACGTGAAAGGAATGAAATACCAAGGAAGCAAAAAGTATCCCCTAATGTTTGAAAACTGACTTGACATTCACAGCTAAGCCACATGGATCCCTTGTTGGAGGTCAGACAAGTAAGTTCACAAACTCGTCCTAGAAAAAGTGCTACATATCTCGCTGTTGAACATCTCCCTGGTCACCTTTAAGGTACACCCCTTGGGAAGCTAATCACTGACACCAGTGCCTCGTCCACGCTTCAAAGCAATTTTGGAACTCTTTCTGGAATGGCCATCAGAACTCTCGTCATGCAAGGCCTGACAATTAGGTTTACGAACTCGCCTTACAAAATGTCCTATGTACCTCATTGCTGGATATCACTATGGTCACCAGATGGCCAAGGGGAGTACTTTGAGGTGACCACGGTGATATTCAGCCATAAAGTACGTAGCACTTTTTTAAGGATGAATTTAATTGTCTGACCTTGTAAAAAAATTTCCTAGGACAGGTCTACCAAACAAGATGACTCTGAGATCGTGATAAACTGAGACAAAAACAGGATCACTATGAAACCTACAAGACACACAGCACCTCCCCCTCTCCCATCACATGGGTGACTTATGCTTCTCTGCCAGTTACAGCTTTACCCTCACTCTAGTCTTCCCTCTGTAAGGTTAAGATTCAGTGGGACGCCCGGTCATAGAACTGCCCCACTTTCTGACAGCACCCAGGGTTGAGAGCACACACTCACTTCTTTAGATTCTTCCTCTCTCTCTCTTTTTCAGTTCAGGTTTTTGTGAGGGTACAAACAACCAGGTCACAATGTTTGAACTGGTTAGGTACAGTCCCTCTCGTAGCTGTGTCCCACACCTGAAGAGTATGCCACATCTTTAGATTTTTTTTCCAACAGCTTCTGCCTGAGCTGCTTCACGTTTGTCTATGACGAACATCCTCCCGCAATGCAACAGACAGTAAACCCAACCTGTCTGTTTCTTGGATCTGTAAGTCGTGTCCTCCTGAAGCTCAGAGCAGTAGAGAAGAAAGATTGGCTCCAAAGTACAAGATTCCTGATATGCTTTTCATAATACTATTTGCAAGGAATCAGTGACTCTTAAAGGGGCTACATGCATCAGTAATAGAACTCAGACTAGGGTTTTTTGTTTGTTCGTTTGTTTTACTGTGGCCTTTTCAATGACTTTGATGATGATACCCTGAGCTATGACAACGGGTGAGGACCTGACTTCCTCATTTCATCTCTATTTATTTTGTTCTTCTCTCTGTGTTCCCTGCCCTCAGAACCCTGCACCCTGCCCTTGAGTGAAGGGACGTGTAGGCTTAAAATACAGCGCTGGTATTTTGACACTAATGAAAATCTCTGCAAACCGTTTGCATATAAGAGCTGCGAAGGGAATGCCAACAATTTCGTCAGAAGGATAGACTGCGAGAAAGCCTGCTTGTTAGTCGGTGAGACTCACAGCCTGGCAGTCGGGGGGCCTAGTTTAACTAGGAATAGTATACCAGGGAGGATATAGGCTCAGACTTTGAGGTCAAATTTCCTTGGTTCAAGTCTTAGCTCTGTCATTCACTAGCTAGGTGGTCTTGGGCCAGCTGCTTGCCATGATGAGTTTCAGTTTTCTCGTCTATAGAATGAAGAGAATACTAGTATTTACCTGTGGAACTGTTCTGGGGGGGAAAAATGACATAGTGTACATAAAGTGCTAATAAAGTGGCTCGGCGCCTGTGGCTCAAGCGGCTAAGGCACCAGCCACATACACCTAAGGTGGTGGGTTCGAATCCCCAGCCCGGGCCCGCCAAACAACAATGATGGCTGCAACCAAAAAATGGCCAGGCGTTGTGGCGGGCGCCTGTGGTCCTAGCTACTTGGGAGGCTGAGGCAGGAGACTCGCTTGAGCCCAGGAGTTGGAGGTTGCTGTGAGCTGTGATGCCATGGCACTCTACCCAGAGGGATAGCTTGAGGCTCTGTCTCAAAAAAAAAAAAAGTGCTAATAAAGTTTGGCCAATGAAACTTGAAAAGCACATCTACTCCCTTGGAAGAAAGTATTTCCTCAGCATTTCAACCTTTTTTTTTTTTTTTTTTTTTTGAGACAGAGTCTCAAGCTGTCACCCTTGGTAGAGTGCTGTGGTGTCATAGCTCACAGCAACCTCAAACTCATGGGCTCAAGCAATTCTTCCACCTCAGCCTCCCAAGCAGCTGGGACTACAGGCACCTGCCACAACGCCCGGCTATTTTTTTGTTGTTGCAGTTGTCATTGTTGTTTTAGGTGGCCCCGGGCCGGGCTGGAACCTGCCAGCCTTGGTGCATGTGGCCGGAGCTCTACCCGCTGTGCTATGGGCACTGCCCATTACAACCTTTTGATTTTCATCTTGAGGATTCAACCAAGAATGAGCTGTAGAATAGCCGTCTCTGGAGTCTCATGGAATAAGTGTAGACACTGGCAGAGGAGAGTAGATTGGGGTAGAGGGGAAGGTTGTGGATTAAGTCCTTAGCGGAATGGTCATCACCAGTGATGTTGGGAGACAGTGTCTTACAACACCTCCATTAAAATCCCTTCCCACCGAAGACAACTTCCTTCACCTCTTTTGAGTTTCAGTTCCCTCCCCTGTCATGCTGGAATAACAGCAAACACTTCACTGAGTCGTTGGTAGGAACGTACATGATCAAAAACACAAAGATTGACATGGTAGCCGTCCAAGGGGGTGGGTTTACTAACAAGCGAGATGGTGAATTTTGATCTTCAAAATGCAGTGCTGTGTGGTTTATGAGGCACCATTAAGATTTTGACCTCTGATTCTGCGAGGCAAGCTGAAAAGGGCTGCTGTCACTACTGCTTTGTATGTAAGGAAATAGAGTCAGCGAGGTAAACAGTTAGTTGCCCAAGGACCCACGGTCGGTCAGGAGTAGAGTTGGAATTTTAATTTCACAGCTCAATGAGCCTGAAGGTCAAGGGAGTGCTGTGGCCTGGCTTGACAAAACAGAGACCACGAGCCTCCCTTGTGGGAGGCTCTAAGGAATCGTGATGCTGTGATTCCTTCGTCATCTCTCCCAGGAACACTGGGAAGGCAAAGCCAGAGAAATGGGCTTGGGCGGATTTGTGGAAAATTTATATAGAGGGGGTCAGAGGCAACCTGACAGTCAAACACACCCTCACAGAGTGAGAAATGGCCCAGAGAAGCCCTGGTAGAATTTGCAATCAGTAGATATGCACACAGTCCCTTAGAGTTGATTTAACTACTCTGTCCCAATGACCCACCAAGTTGGAGCTCCGGCCCAGATCTGACATTCAAACTCTGCTATGTACCTCCACCTCCACCTGGATCTCACAGACACCTTACACTTACCTTTTCTAAAACAGAATTTATCTTCATTCCCCTACCCCAGACCTCCTCTATTCATAGTTCCCTTCATGTAGGTTGAAAAAACTTGGAAACCACACTTGATGCCTCTCATTCTCAGTCAACATCCCTTAAATCAGGAAATTATTTTACTTTTCAAAATGTTCCAATAATTTAATGGCAGGGCTAGAAGAGAGCATTGACAGCCATCCTGGGACTCTCTAACAGAATGCCTTTCTTGGATGCAGGGACATTCATAACCCTGGTATCTCTTATCCACAGCTGTGCGATATAAACGCGATCACTTTGCCCCTCACACAGCATAAGAAGAGAACAGCAGGGTGCCCCGGAGGCGTCTGGACAGCACACAGCAAAACAAAAGACTGAATGATCCCCCCAAGCACATACACACAACGCCATTAAAAAGCAACCTTTGTCTATTACAAAGTCGTGCTTGCTCTTTTTCCTCTTCAGGAAGTCAGCGGTGCTGGCAGGTGTCTAGTGGAATCCATCCTCCAGGAATGAGTGCAAAAGCGGAGCATGTGGCTCAGGGATGTCCCTGCAGTGAGCAATGGAAGGACTGGCTGGGGGCCGCTCATCCATTTCTGACAACCACACACATACACACACACACACCCATGCATTATTGCCAGCCTGTGTACTTTCACATCATGATTTTTGTGTTTCCAAAGCTTGAAGTGTCCTTGACGCTGTCTGTGTGAGTTTTGTATTCCGTGACGGTGCTGGGAAGCAGGGTAAGCACTCACTCAAGTGAATCCCGGCTTCGGGCTGTGGTTGCTTGGCAGCTGGCATTACACATTGAAATAATGTCATCCTGAAAGCAGACAGAGACCACAGTCCCACAGATGTGCTCTCCAGCCATGAACTGTTCCCTTACCATGGCCAGAATGAGATTCTCCCAGTGATGGGAGGCCAAGCCCTTTTGCAGCTGAACAATTTGTTTGCTGCCATTTTTTTTTTTTTTGTATTATTCAGCCTCCCACATGGGTTTACTTCCTTCTTTGAAGAGATGGAAGTCACTGTGGTCTGTCAGGTCTCCGGGACCTACCATGTGGCTATAAAACTTGCAGAACCACTCTGTACAAGCAAAGGTGACAGTCTGTTGGATATTCTGTTCATAGCTCTGTGAGCTGGTAGGACAGCCAGGGGTTCCCCAGAGTATCCCCCACCCCCTGCACTGCCAGGGATGCCCTGCTGCTCCAGGGACAGCAGATTTCCTTTTGCTGTTGTTCTGATTTTTGTCACATGCCATTTTTTCTTTCTCTCCATCTTTCCGTGTGCTAGTTTCTTCATTTTGATCATGGTCCCCACTGTCATCATCTTTCGAGGCGTCAACTTTCTTGTCCATCCTCTCGTGGCTGCTGTCAGCACTGCCTCACCAGGAAATAATTTTAGTTCCACCTTGAACGTAGACCCTGAATCTGACCACTTCTTGCCACTTCTGCAGCTGCCACCCTGATCTGAGGCTCCATCTTCTCACCTGGATTGCGACAACAGCCTCCTAAAAGATTTTCCTGCCTCTGTCCTCCTTACAATCTGTTATCAACACAGCAGCCACAATGACCTTTTAAAAACATGGATCATTAGCCAAGCATTGTGGTGAGTGCCTATAATCCCAGCTACTCAGGAGGCAGAGGCAAGAGGATCACTTGAACTCAAGACTTTGAGGTTGCTGTGAGCTATCACACCACGTACTCCAGCTTGGGTGACAGAGTGAGAATCTGTCTCAAAAAAAAAAAAAAAAAAAAAGCCGGGTCAGGTCATGTCACTCCTCTACTGAGAACACTGTAATGGCTCCCCATCTGATTCAAAGTAAAACCAAATATCCTAAAATAGCTTACATTGATTTGTGTAGATTTTACATAATATCCCTATTTTACAGAGAAGGAAACTGAAGTCACTTGTTAAGTGGCAGAGCTGGAACTTGACCTTGGGGCTTCAGGCATAAAATCTAGCACTCTTTCTGTCATATCCCACCATATGGCGATATTCTTCCACAGTCTACTGTAGATGGATAGGATAGGATGACCCAAGTGGCAGAAAGAAGTACTAGCTTTGAAGAGAAGGAAAAGTTGTTTGAAGGGTGGGGAGATGGGGTGGGGTATGAAGAAACTCACATCTGTTCTTGTTTTAGTCAAGAAAGGACAGTGCCCACTCTTTCCTTTCGATGACCGTATGGAGTGTCCAGCTTCATGTAAAAGTGACATCGATTGTCCAAAGACGGATAAATGTTGCGACTCCACCTGTGGTTTTGTTTGCGCCAAGGTCTGGAAAGGTGAGGACTGGAGATACACCTCCCAAAGACTATTGGGCGTATGTCAAGGACACCATGTTTTCCTATGAAATGGGGGTGTCCTGAACCTCAGATGCCCCTTGGGTTGACCTTCGAGGAAGCTTGGGAACCTTTCCCTTTTCAGTGCCCAGCCAGTGCCCTTTTGTGGACCTCCTGACCTGTGAAGATTATTGTGCTACTCTTCAAAGCCAATCATGCATGGTATCACTCTCCATTCTTTCTTGAGAAAACTTAGTTATTATGAGTCTCATTCTCTAGGGACCTACAAGGTGACAATCTTCACCGATTCATTATAAAATTCATAACCATTAGGTGTATTCCTAATAACCTCTAGTGTCTGCACAGAACTCCAGAGCGTGAGCATCGTAGTCACATCCCCCCAGTAGGCTGGGGAAAAGATTAGTAGCAAATGCTGGTAGGGTAGAAGCTAGCTCTAATCTAGTACTATTCTCCCATGTAGTCCTAGGGAGTGTCTGTGTTTTAAGGTACACTATGTTACGGTGTCAAGAGTTACTCTTTTTGACAGCCTTCAACATTTCCATGGGCATTCTATGCAGCCTTAGGCAAATGACTTCCTCCTATATAGTCCTCAACTCCTACATTTACAAAACAAGAAAAGTTCTGGGTGCTCTCTTAAGACTTCTTCCACCTCTGGTACTCTGGGATAATATAACCTGAATCCACTAATTCTGTAGAAGCAGGCAGGTGTCCTATCATAATGCATACATTAGAGATGGCAAGACTTTTTTGATATTCCTCAAATTATTAACCCGTAGAAAGTTGATATTCTACCTCATCCAGTCTGCTGTTATTATAAGGGAGAAAGGGAGAAGGTAAGAAACTCAATCAAAACAAAACTCTGTTTGAGATTCCCAAGATTCTCCAAATTTGTCTCAGATTGTGACCAAGCATTTCAACATCAAGTATCTTATTTTACCCCATAAAGTCAAACCAGGTTTCTGCCCACCCAAGCCCTTGAAATGTGAGAAGATTCATAAGCCCAGTTGCCTGAAGGATGCTGAGTGCCCATTAATAGAAAAGTGCTGCACAGATTGTGGACTGAAATGCATGGAACCCGAATCTTGAACAGTAAGTAGAAAATATATTACATCAAAATTATTAACTATAAGTAGCATAATCAAAAGTTATCAGTTTTATCTTATTCAGCTAAATTGCCAAATTATCTTGCTCAGTATAACTATATTTCATAGTGTTACTTTGATTATATACATTCATATCATCTGAAAATAATGATAAATTTGACTCATTTTTTCCAATGTTGTGACTTTATTTTCTTGTCATCTTATGTAGAATCTCTGAAATAATGTTGCAGACAAGGCAAGGGAAACTATCTCTGTCTGGTTCCTTCTTTCCAAGTCAATAGCTACTGCAGACATAGCTCCAAAAAACACATTTGTGGTTGGATTTGGGATTTTATGCACCTAAGTTATTTCCTTTTTTAAGGTTACCTCCTATCCACTTGTAGCTGGTCCTGGAAATGACCGATGAATTTTACCAAATATCTTTTGAGCATATAGTTACAGAATGATTTTTCTCTTCCAATTTGTTGGCTTAATAGCTTATATTGATTGTCATGTGTTGAACTATCCTTGCATTCTTAGAATAACCTTAATTGCATTGATGGTATACTTGTATCAATACGCTGTTGGTTCTCTAGAAAATAGTTTAATTAGAATTTTCATCTATAGTCAAAAGAAAAATAGGTCAATGTCTTTTGTTTGTTTTGCTATTTGGGTCATATTATTTTCACAAAACTAGGGTAAGGAAATAATTGGGGAATGCACCTACTTTTTCTATAATCTGAAATATTTTTAATAATATATCAATTCTCTGTTCTTTGGAGTCTACACAAAATTCAGCCCCAAAAGCATCTAGGTCAGGTTCCTTCTATGACGATATATGTGTGTTTTTGCACATTTTAAATATTTCATTTTATATTATGTGCATTTTCCCTACTCCTTTTTTTGTGATTTTGGGTCTTTTATATATTGTTAAAACTGACCAATTTCTCCTATATTACTTTGGAGTAATATAAATTGTTCTCTGTGTGATTCTGTCAATATCTTCTACTTTGGTTAATGTTTTCACTCATACATTCATGTTTCTATCCACCCATCTACCCACTAACCATGCAATTTGTTTACTAACCTACCCATTCCCTCACCTAGTACCCAATCCCAACTCACCTCATATTCTTCCATTGACACACCTTTCACTTTATCTATTTCCATATCCATGTGTCCATCCACTTATCCCTCTTAGTCATATTCCTTCTACTTACCTAGCTGCCCATTTTATATTTAGCCCTTAATTCATCTATCATTTAGGGCCCTCCACACTCTTTCTCTCTCTCTCCCACATACACACATTATTTTACACCCATCATTTCTACACCTATCTCCTTTCATCCACCCACTAATCCATTCATCCAGTTTCTACTCAAATGGCTTCCACTATCCCATCAGTAACCTAGTCTTCCTTATATCCAATCCATTTCTCCAGCCATCCTATTATCCACCCATCCATAATCTATTCATTCATGCACCTAAATATTCATGCTTCCCTCACCCATCCCTCTTCCTCCTCATTTAGCTATTCTCCCATTCATCACTCTGTTGACTGTCCATTCATCTACCTGTCCACACACCTACCAATCCTCCCACCTACTTATCCAGCTTACTGGATTATCCAGCTGTACTGAGGGTTTATTCTGAGCCTATTCATGCTTATCCAGCTGTACTGAGGGTTTATCCAGCTGTACTGAGGGTTTATTCTGAGCCTATTCATGCTCTAAGCACTAGATTCTGAGCGCTATGGGAAGCAAACATGCAATTTAGTAGCATGTTTGAGGCACAGAGAACAACATAGAAAGCCAGTGATGAAAAATCAACCCATGTGACATGTCTTGGTCTAATTCAAAAGCAAGGGTTGTCAGTAGAGGCCAGTCTGCTCTGTTCTACCAGGAGTCCCTGTTCTGAGCACAAGATTGGTCCTAGAACAAAAGTGGCATGAGGCATAGGTTGGGTACCATGGCTATCAATGAGGAGATGAGTGACAGAGTGGGTAGATGGGTCTCTTCCCAAACTTCTCTAAGAAGAGGCCCAACCCATAATTCATCCCAGGCCCTGGACAAAAATTGAATTCTACCTGCTTGGAAAGTGAGACCATTGGATGGGCCTAAAAATTAGGACAGAATGGGATAGAACAACCAGAAAAAGTTTTAATCTATTTTCAAGAAAATTTAGAAAAGAATGCATTCTTAATTGGGAACCCAGGGAACCACTGGAAATTTACTGCCTCTGTGAGTCTTGAACCGCTGTCTATACTAATGGCATCACCTTCTTCTTCCCTGCCCCCCCTTTTTAAGGTGTACACCTTTACTGAGCTGTTCTCGAGTCAGTGTGCAGGTAAGCCTTGCTGCCTCCACATCTCCACCTGCTTCGAGGGAGACTAAACACCTTCCTACATCTCAAACTGGGGGAAAAAACAGGAGACCACAATAGCCGATCATTCAAAATAAAACAAAAATAAAAAATATTGGGAAAGATTTTTAAAATTTGCATTACATAATTCACACAAAAGCAGTGCTATCCCTCCCCTGTGTTGACTCAGGAGAAGACCAGGCCATTCTCCATAGAGAGAAATGTGGTGACTTTTGGGAGGACAAGGGACTTCCTGTAGTAATGCAGCTCATGATATTTGGAATGACTACTTTTGAAAAAGTATGATGCACAATCAAAGTCTGTGGGCACACTATAGATCTTTGGGGATCCTGGCTCCATTGGACTTCTGTCACCTTTACTGTTCTAGTTTTTAAATCTTGAGTCAAGCCAAAGACAAACAAAAAACACTAACATGCACACAAACAAAAAGCCACACCAATATCATCTTGTTTTCAAGTTAGGTTTTATCAAGAAAGGGTGTAACACAGATAAGCAATAGTCCACAAAGAATCATTTGTGGTGAATGGTGGAGGGTCCAGATTCCTCATATTCCCACTGGCTGATCCACATCTGCTGGAATGTGGACAGTGAGGCCAGGATGGAGCTGCACATCCACAGAGAGTTCTTATGCTTACGGGAGAGTGATGATCTTCATCGTGCTGGGAGCTAGTGCAGGGCTCTCCTACATCCTGTCAGTGCTGTCTGGGTACCTGGTGGTGCCATCACACAGCACTGTGTTGGCACACAGGTCCTTGCGGATGTCCATGTCACAGTTCATGATGGAGTTGCAGGTAGTTTAATGGATGCCATGGGATTCCACACCCAGGCAGGAAGGCTGGAAGAGAACCTTGGTACAGCACTGACAATGGACAGCCAGTAGCTCTTTTCCAGGAAAGAGCTGGAGGCCGTGGTGACCTCTCCTGCTCAAAGTCCAGGGCAGGGCAACAATTTCTCCTTGATGTCTTGCAAATCCTGCCAGCACCTGGAGGGGAAGCTGTAGCTGTGCTCTGAGAGGGTCTTCACTCAGTCAGGTCCCAGCCAACCAGGTCTAGATGCAGGGCGTAGCCCTTGTTGATGGGCACAGTGTGGGTGACCCTGTTCCTGGAGTCTAACATGATGCCAGTGGCAGGACTAGAGGCATGCAGGATGGCTACCTGGATGGCTACCTACACAGCTGGGGTGTTGAAGGTCTCAAACATGATCTGGATCATCTTCTCACGGTTGGCCTTGGGGCCTAGGGAGGCTCCATCAGCAGTACAGAGTACTTCCTGGATGCCACGTGCAGCTTGTAGAAGATCTCCATGTCTTCCCATTTGGTGACAATGCCATGCTTGACACAGTACTTCAGAGTCAGAATGCCTCTCTTGCTCTGGGTCATACTGCCTAGGTAGGAGTCCATCTGGCCAATGCCCACCATCATGCCCAGGTGCTGCTATCAACAACAAGCCTAGAAATATCACTCATGGTGAGTTGGGTGGTGGGTGTGGACCAGTGCAGAGTGGCAGGACGAGGGCCAGGGGTCTGTGTTCCCACAGTGGACATGGTCTCAGTGGCCCTTCATTCCTTTTGGACTCACCATTCCTCTCCACCTGCAACTCCACAATGAAATATCATATCCACATTGATATCAGAAGGTTTCCTCGTGACCTTTGGTAAGAACTTATGTGCTCAGTTACCTCAACCTTATCGCTGACACTCATTTGCTGGGTGATATTCATTCAGCATCCTCAGTTCTCTGGCCTATGATCCTTATCTGTAAAATGAGAAAATGGTGCTTGACGCTCCCTCAGAGCCCTTCCACCTGGCTATTCTGGGTTTTCATTCTCTCCTGAGCTGAGTTGGGGAAAATATGGGACGTAGCAAAAGATGACAGCATTGCTTAGGATGCCTTGGCCATTCATCAGACCTTCTATCCCTTAGTCTCTTGTGGGATCTACTTCTTCTTCTTTTTTTAATTGAATGGTAACTATGTACATTAATGCACTTCTGGGGTACAGTGTGGGGTTTTCACACACAATCTGAAATACTTCCATCAAACTGGTCAGCACAGCCTTCATGTCATTTTCTCAGTTATTGTTTTAAAATGTTCATATTCTACTCTTAGAAAGGTTCACTTGTACCTCTGTAAGATAAACCTCAGAAGTGATCCCTCCAATCCTCCTCCCTCCACCCATTCCCCCTCCCCTCTCCCTCCCCGTATTATTCTTAGGCTATTTGGTTATAGCTTTCATATAAAAGGTATAAATTAGTTTCATAATAGGGGTGTGTACATTGGATACTTTTTCCTCCATTCTTGTGATACTTTGCTCAGAAGAACATTCATGCTCTTTGCTCAGATCCATTCATGGTCGATGGACACTTGGGCTGTTTCCAAGTCTTGGCTATTATGAATTGGGCTGCAATAAACATTCTGGTGCAAATGTCTTTGTTGTAAAATAATTTTTGATCTTCTGGGTATATACCTAGTAGAGGAATTGCAGGATCAAACAGTAGGTCTACTTTTAGTTCCTTGAGTGTTCTACAAACTTCTTTCCAAAAGATCGTATTAGCTTGCATTCCCACCAACATTGTAGAAGCATTCCCTTCTCTCTCCATCCACGCCAACATCTGTAGTTTTGGGATTTTGTGATGTGGGCTAATCTTACTGGAGTTAGATGATATCTCAAAGTGGTTTTAATTAGCATTTCTCTGATGATTAAGGATGATGAGCATTTTTTTCATGTGTTTGTAGGCCATGCACCTATCTTCATCAGAGAAGTTTCTGTTCAAGTCTCTTGCCCAGGTAGAAGTGGGGTTCTTTATTCTTTTCTTATTAATTTGAGTTCTCTGTAGATTCTAGTTATCAGACCTTTGTCAGAAGCTTAACCTGCAAAAATCTCCCATTCTGAAGGTCGTCTGTTTGCTTTACTTACTGTGCTCTTGGCTGTGCAAAAGCTTTTTAGTTTGGTCAGATGCCAGTAATGTCCTTTTGGTGTTGCTTCAATTGTCCGGGGGAGGGTCCTCCTCATAAAATATCCTCCCAGGCCAACTTCTTCAAGTGTTTTCCCTGCACTCTCTTCTAGTATTTTTATAGTTTCATGTTCTAAGTTTAAATCTTTTATCCAGTAAGAATCAATTCTTGTTAATGGTGAAAGGTGGGGGTCCAGTTTCAGTCTTCTACAGGTCACCAGCCAGTTCACCCAGCACCATTTGTTAAATAGAGAGTCTTTCCCCCACTATTTTTGATAGGCTTGTCAAAGATCAAATGACGATAATCAGCTGGGTTCATCTCTTGGTTCTCTATTCTGTTCCATAAATCTACCACTCTGTTTTTGTGCCAGTACCATGCTGTTTTGATCACTATAGATTTATAGTACCAATCTCAAACTCTTGAGCTCAACTGATCCTCTTGCCTCAGCTTCCCAAGTAGCTGAGACTATAGGTACCTGCCATAACACCCAGCTAATTTTTCTATTTTTAGTAGAGATGGTGTCTCACTCTTGCTCAGGCTTGTCTCCAACTTCCTGAGCTCAAGCCATCCATATGCCTCAGCCTCCCAGAGTGCTGGGATTACAGTGCTTGGCCTAGATCATTTACTCTGTGAAAAGTATCGCTTCCCCTCAACGAGCCCCACCAAGCAGCTGGTTTTGTGGATTCCCTGGCTGGAGGGAAAGCTACCAGCCCAATTAAGCCCAGACACTCTGCTGTACTGCTGAATTTTATTCAATTACAGTCTCTCACGCAGTTTCTTTCCCCTTCATGATTCTTCCTCAGACAACACAAGATTTGTGGCAGAGGGTAGACGCTCCCTACAAGCTCTCACCATCTCTCCTAGTCTCAAAGCAACATGACTTTGACAAACATGAGCTGAAGACTCTGCAATCCGTCTGATACCTCCCCCCCCCCCACCCACCACTCAGTAGCAACAATTTTACTCTTTGGCCTTAGTGAATATGAGTGACTCAAAGAGAAGATAAATGGGAGAAGGACAGGATGAAACTGTGGGAGAGGGAGAAAGGGACGCAGAAACAATAGGAGACCCAGAAAAAGAGGGGGGAAAGTTAGCTCATAGGCACAAAGAGACACAGAGAAACAGTTACCAAGAGATTGATAGAGATACATTGTCAGAGATAAACAGGAGGGTGTGCTAGTTGGTGTGTATGTAAATGGAAAATGAATGAAGAATGAGGACTTTCCACAACTCTCCAAGTTATTGAGATGAAGACTTGAGATGGTGACATTCACACCCACGGCTGCCTAGAAAGGGTGGGACAAGTTTCACCCACTCCCCAGGCTGACCAGAGAGCTCAGCCAGCACGGCCCAGGGGTCTTGGCCAAGAGCCACCCAGTAAGAGACCCTCCCCTGGAGCTCTGAGCTGTGGGTGCCAGCGAGTCCCATGTATGACCTTGGAACTTGGTGTTCCCAGCAGGAAAGGGGGTGGCTGGCTTGTCTCCAGTTCTTATACCCAAGGTGTTGCTATTGAAGGAATAGGCTGGGCCGATGCAGTCAGACATTTCTAGGGTCTGGAACCACCACACAGGCTGGTCTCTCTTCAGAATGGAATCTTCTAGACTTCTAAGCCTGCTTGTGCTGTTCAGCTTCTTTGTGAATTTCCAAGGACCTGTTGTGAGTTACTGGGGCTTTTCCAGTAAGTATTGGGCCTCAGCTCTTGTCCCAGGGAGAGGGAAATTTGCTGTGAGGAAGAAAAAAGGAACAAGTCCCCAGATCTGGGGTTGCCTTCCACCATCTTAACGCTGGTCCTGGGTTGGGAGAGGAGGAAGGTGTTTGGAAGACCCCTTCTGTGAATGCTTGAACTCTGATTTAGGCAAGTCCCACTTTCGGCTCCTTTAAAGTGGAGAGTCACAGGATCTAGCATTTATAGAAGGGGCTTATGGAACCTGGGAAGCATAAGGGACCTTCCCCTCATTCCATGAGAAAGGCAAGCCCTTTTCTTGGAATGTCATCTCTATCTGCTCCTAGGGCTTTCGAACATAGTTCTAAAAAGTGTCTTTGCATCCCCAGGGGTTCCTTGACTTTGGGATATAAAACAGTATCCAAAAGTACCTCTGAACTTAAGACACTCATACTCCATAACCATATAGTAATAATGACAATTGTTATCATTTTCTGGACACTCAGACAGTAGGGGTTTCTAAGTAGGGTTTTTCAAAACAAAGACAACTAAAAAGGATTTGGAGTCAGACTTAGTGACTTCAAATTTTGGTAGGCACGTAACCCAGTTACTTAAATTCCATGTGCTTCAGTTTCCTCATCTGTAAAATGGGGATATTAATAGGACTTATCTCACTGAGCTGTTACGGGGATCGAATGAGATCATACATCTAAAATGCTTACGAGGGTGCTTGGCTTGTGGTGAGTACTTAAGAAATGTTGGCTAATATTACTGTGCATCACTCATTCTGATTCCCACAACTCTGTAAGGCCAAAATGATTTTACAGATGAAGAAACCAAGATTCAGAGAGAATAGGTACTCGGGAGACCAAGAATTAGAATTGAAAAACCAAACTGACTCCAGGGTGAGGAACATTAATCACTGTATAATACTGCCCCCCAGAGGAACTTGCCAACACTGACTCCTCTACAAGGTAAAAGGGCAGATGGGCTTAAACCAGCTGAAACCAAAAATGGGGCAATTTTGTCTCCCAGGGACGCATGCAATGTCTGGGAACATTTTTGGTTGTTACAGTTAGGGGACACTACTGGTATCTAACGGATGGAGGCGAGGGATGGTGCTAGACATCTTACAGTACCCCCCACAACAAAGAAGTATCCCACACAAATGTCACCAGTGGTTGAGAAATTCTGCCTTTTAGAGGGGATGGGCCTGAGGACCTGGGTAAGGAGGTGCTTGGCAAGGAGGGTGAGGCACACAGGAGGGAACCATGTGAGGCCACCCTGAGAAAAGGACCCCTGGGATCCAGCAAGATGAAAGCAAACTTCCCAGACTCCCCAGAATCGCCTTCTGTCTGGCAAAGGCTAGACCCTGTGATCTCCAAGGCTCATGGTTGTAAAACTGCTCCTTTCCTAGATAAATGCCCCAAAGTCAAAGAGAAATGTGAGTACAAAGAAAGGGACCGATGTACGGAGGACAGCGACTGCATGCACAACAAGAAGTGCTGTGTCTTCAGCTGTGGAAAAAAATGTTTTGACATCCAACAAGGTAATTTTCAGCGCCTCATAATAACCAACCAGCCCCTCTCCCCAGGCCCTGGCCTTCCACTTGCTGAGACTGGCATTGCCCCTTGCTTTGCTGAGGGCTGCTCTCTGGGCAAGATCACCGGGCTAGAGAGACCCAGGACTTAGCTTCATTACTGCCCCTCATATGGTGTGCAGTGTGACATTAGTAATATCCTTATCCTATCAGGGAATGTCCAGGACTCAGTTTCCCCAAACAAAGATGAATGAAGGAGAGAGATTGAACCAGATAGATGGGTTTTGGCTACGTGGCTACTTTTTGCTTTATGATTTTCTGAGTTTTCAGGTGACCACTATGGTCCTAACATAGACCAGCATTGCAAATTGGTAAATTAAGCAATTGATATTTCCTAGCTTTTTGCCTTGGAGTGACCACCTCTCTGCCTACACAAATCCAACTTTGCCTCAGGAAACTCCCCTTACCTCTCCAGACCAGGGGAGAGGTTTTTCCTTTGCTGCTACAATCTTCATTTCACACTCATCTGCCTGGGCTCTGAAAAGATGATCAAAATTTCTTTACTTATTTAAGAAACATGTTTGGAGTGCCTTCGAGACCCATGATAGAATTTGACCTGCTCAGCGTGGTCAGGGAGGTTGGGAAAGCCTGGAGTTGAGTTGAGAAAGATAGGCAGGATTTCAGGCAGTAATTGAGGGGGAAGGCTTTCCCAGCACGGGGCTCAGCACGCTCAAGGATGGAGCCCTAGGGAGGCAGGAACACAGAGTGCTGCATTCACATGGTGCAAGGACAGAGGACCCTGGGTCGGTGGGGCTCAAACAATCCAGGTCTGGTGCCACAGAAATCACTCAAGATGGGTTGGTGACATGATCAGATTTGTACAACGCTTTCAGAGTGGAAAAGAGGAGGAAAGGGGTATCTTGAAAGACTTTAAGATAAAAGAAAATGGTAGTTGGGCGGCACCTGTGGCTCAAAGGAGTAGGGCACCAGCCCCATGTGCCCAAGGTGGCGGGTTCAAACCCAGCCCCGGCCAAAAACTGCAAACAAGAAAGAAAGAAAGAAAGAAAGAAAGAAAGAAAGAAAGAAAATAATAGCCTGGAAAAAAGAAGTAGCTGAGGGGATGAAGAAGAGTGGGGTGTGCTGAGAGGTATTTAGGGGGCAAAGTCAATGGCAGGGGAGCGGAGTGCACAGGTGGGGCGTTAACGGCTTTCACTTACCCACAGGAGAGGATTCTGCATCCAGCCTTCCTGGGGCTCATCTTTATCCAGTTCTTACTAGACTTTGAATCTTGGGCACATTAACAGTTTTCCTTCATTGTGCCTCAGTTTCCTTAGGTAATAAAAGGATCTGTGTTAAAGGTTATTTCGAGAATCAAATAGATTCATGCACATGGGGTGTTTAGAGCAACGTGGGCACCTAACAGCCACCTGATACCTATTAGCTTAAATTATTCGTCACCCTTGACTGGGTCACTCCTCCTCACTCACTTAGGAGTGACCTCAGTCCTGCGTAGCAGAGCTCATTGCTTTTTCTCTGTTCCTTAAAGCACTCAGCACATAGCCAGTGTTCAAGGAATGGCTGGTTCAGTTCAGATAAGAACATCTCTTCTTTTTGCCCTCAACATTCCACAAAGTCCTATACTGTGCCAGTTTCCGTGTTAGGAATTGGGATTCTAGGATGAAATCAGATGCAATCCCTGCTCACTCGAAAGGCACAGCCTCAGGGATGAGACCCAAGCTGTAAACGAATGATAAACGTGCACACGAGATTCAGAAGCAGGAGGTGGCAGCATGGGGAGGGTGGGAAGTGGAGTCAGGAGAGGCGTTACAGAGGAGCCGGTGTCTGAGAAAGGCCTGAAGGAAGAACAGGGGTGTCAGGAACCAGCAGCAGTGGGAACGTGTTGGGGTCGAGGTGTGGGGGGATGGCATAGCTGAGTATTGTTGGATCATGCAGCTCACAGGGGCACCGTGCCGGGGCAGTAGGAACCGGGTGAGGAAGGGCCTTGTGAGTCATGGGAAGACTTTGTCATGAAGTCAAGTCCATGCACTGAGAGGATCCGCTCAGCTTTCAGACCCAGCTGATCCTTCGGTCTGATGGGCAGCACGAAGTGTTGATCAGAGAGGCCAGGCCTGGAGGCAGGGGGATTGATGCAAGGTTATCTCAGCAGCCCAGGTGTGAGATACTGAGGTTTACATCAAAAAGACAGCAGAGGGGTGAGCTCTCAGGAGGTGAAGATCGACAGGATTCACTCTTTAGCTATGAAGATTCACCCTCATGTGACCACACAAGCGTTGCTGAGTTGGGGTAATAGTTTGCTGGCATCACTGTAACAAAGCACCAGAGACTAGGCAGCAGAAATGGATCATCCCATAGTTCTCTAGGTCAAAGTGGCAGCAGGTTTAGTTTCTTCCCAGGGCTGTGAGGTGTCGGGATGGGGCGGGTGAGTCTATTCCAGGCCTCTCCTAGCTCCGGGTGTCTTGGCGGCAATCGCTGGTATTGCTTGGCTGGTAGACACATCACGGTGATCTCTGCCTTCATGCTCACATGGTGTTCTCCCTGGATGTGTCACTCTGTCCAAACAACCCTGTTTTTATGAGGACACCAATCATGTCAGGTTAGGAGCCTACCTTACTTTGGTATGACCTCATCTTAACTCATTGCATCTGTAGTGACAATGACCCACTCCAGGGTCTCCTTGGCAACATGTGCAATGTCAGTGGAGCTGTCACAGGAAAAGGGGCCTATTCCAGTTTTTCATCGATGGGGGCCAATGGGGGAACAATGACAAATGTTCTTTTTTCCGAGGTGGGTACTCTGAGTTCTCAACCCCGGGTCTCTTGGCAGATGTATGCACTATGCCAAAAGAACCTGGCCCCTGCATGGCTTTTTTTGAACGTTGGTGGTATAATAAGAAAAATAATACCTGCTCCATCTTCATCTACGGTGGCTGCCTGGGAAACAATAACAACTTCCAAAGCATAGACCTGTGCCTGAACATGTGCCGTAAAAAACGTGAGTCCTGGGGTCAGGGTCTCACCAGGACGACGCTGGGAGGTCTGGGTGTTGGTTGGTCCATTCGCTCCATCCTTGGCAGACCTGGTACTAACAGAGCCAGCTCCAAGTGGGGGGTAAGATGCACCTTGTAAAGGGACAGACAACGTGGCTTCCTAGGAACTTAAGATCAAACGGGACATGGAGGTGAATTAAAGATGGCAAGCATGAGGAGAGTGAGAAGGGGTGGAGGGAGGGTAGAAAAGGGCAGAAATCTCAGAAACCTATTGCAGAGGGGTCACAGGTGTCAACCAACCCTCCCAAGCCATCAACTTCCTCAACACAGGTCTTTGCCAGCAATTCAGTCCCGTTCACTTTCCCCTGAAGGAGACCAGTAATAACACCCCAGAGGAAACCCACTTCCTTTTAATGTCCTCCTGTGAAAAGATGTATAACACAACTTCAAGTCCCAGAGGTAAGCTGAGCCCAAGATATTTAGTGGGCCTATCCTATATTCTCAACAGGCTTCTCTCCCTGAATGGATAAGGACAAACAGAAACAACCACCAGGATTTGGCTCACGCTCCAAGGACCTGTCCATGAACCTGACCGATGTTCTGGTGTGGCTTCCATAGTTCCACTCTCAGCGTTCCAAGGCTGTAGCTCTTCTCAAAGCTGAACCACAGGATCTGCTTCACTTTGCCCCATCTTTTCATCTTTTCATGCCTAACATTCTTCCATTTTTATCCCATCCTTGTGCCTGATCCCCTTATCTCTCACTTCTAGAACTCCCTATTACCTGTGAAGCTCCCAATTTTCCCCAATAAAGTGCTTGGTCTGGTTCTGTGCCTCTGAGGCTGAGTCATTCCCATTTGCCTGGGACCCTGAGGCTTCTGGTGACATGATTAAGTGGAGTGAGAACAATCAGAACATTGACAGTTGAAGGCTCCAGGGATATTGTTATTAAGTCTGCCCCTGTTCTTCAAAATTGTAAAACTTGTTTAAGACAAGGGCCCATGTACACTGCCTTAGTTTGAATCCTGGGACAAAGGCATGGGAGTAGGTAGTTTATTTGGGAGATCTCCTGAGAAGCACAGGGTGGAGAGTGGTGTAAGACATTCAGGAAAGAGAGACAGGCCAATTATGATCTGGTTACTACTGTTGGAAACTGTGGCTCAGTCCGCTTGGGACCCTCTAAAGAATCCTATAAAACAGACCGTCAGATTTTCTTCACAGGTAAAGCTGAGTGATGGGGAAGTTGAGCTACTCATCCACCGATTCTTAGGCCCCACTGGATGCCTGAGGTGCTAAATCCCTGGCTCTTCCAGACTATTCCACATGCAAACTATTCCACGTGCAAACTGAACAAGATCCCAGCGAGCCAGAGAAAAGCCACAGCAGAGAAGTAGGGATGCTGACGTGATGGGAGGCTGTCCACGTGCACTGGATACTATTTAGCCATAGAAAAGGAATAAAGAAAAAGAAAAGGAATGAAACGCTGAGATGTGCTACCCAGCAGATGAACTTCAAAAACGCTATGCTAGGTGAGAGGAGACAGACGTGAAAGGCAGCAGCAGGCTGTGTGAGTCCATGTATGTGAGACCTCCCGAAGAGGCAAACCTGCAAAGATAGAAAGCAGATAAGTGATTGCCAGGAGTTGGTGTGGCTTAGAGGAAAGTTGGGAATAACTGGTAAGGCAGCAGTCCCCAGCCTTTTCAGAACCAAGGCCTGGTTTCAGGGAAAACAATATTTCCATGGACAGGGGTGAGGGAGACCGGGCTGGGGGAGATATGACAGGAGGTAGAGCTTAGGAGACGATGCTGTGCACCCAGATTCCTAACAGGCCATGGATGGGTATCGGTCGGTGCCCTAGGGATTGGGGACAGCGGTGCTAATGAGTAGAGACTTTTTATTTGAAGCGATAGAAATGTCTTGGACTAACAGAGGTGGTGGTCACACATTATGAATACTCTTTTAAAAAGCCACTGAGTTGTTTACCTTAAAATGGCTTGTTTTATGTGACATGAATTATATCTTAATTTACAAAAATGAATTAAGAAAAATTGTGCACTGGGACAGCCCCTTGCAGCTGCAGGTGAAATTGGAGGTGAGCCAAGAGTGTGTGTGTGGTGGTGGGACAATAGTCCCTATTACCCTTGACCCTGTAATAGGCAGATTCCCTCACACCCACGTGGAGTCCACTCCCAAAGAACTCATCACTTTCTGGTGAGGTCAGGACAGTCCTCAGACCCTGATGCTATAGCTAGTTCTGAAATCTCCTATCACTAAATCTCAAAACTGCAGATGCTGGTGTGGATGTGGAGAGACGGGAACACCTGTACACTGCTGGTGGGACTGCAATCTAATACAACCTTTTTGGAAGGAAGTATGGAGAACCCTCAAAGAACTCAAGCTAGACCTCCTGTATGATCCTGCAATCCCATTACTGGGCATCTACCCAGAAGGAAAATAATCCTTTTATCATAAGGACACTTGCACTAGACTGTTTATTGCAGCTCAATTTATAATCACCAAAATGTGGAAATAGCCTAAATGCCCACCAACCCAGGAATGGATCAAGCTGTGGTATAGGTACACCATGGAATACTATTTAGCCATTAAAAATGGAGACTTTGTAAGAGGGACTTTACCTAACAAATGCAATCAGTGAAACCTGGATTCTTGTACTCTCAATGAATCCCCAACAGTAAATTAAAAAATCAGGGGTCCTCAAACTTTTTAAACAGGGGATCAGTTCACTGTCCCTCAGACCACTGGAGGGCTGGACTGCAGGCCCCGGGATGAGTCGGCTGCTAAGTAGGACAGGCAGTGGCAGCAAAAACACTCAGTGGGCCGGATAAATGTCCTGGGTGGGCCACATGTGGCCCAAAGGCCATAGTTTGAGGACGCCTTTACATCCTTTGTATTTACCTGGATGGAAATGGAACACATTATTCTTAGTAAAGCATCACAAGAATGGAGAAGTATGAATCCTATGTACTGAATTTTGATGTGAGGACAATTAATGACAATGACACAATGAGGGTGGGAGAAGGGAAGAGCAGAGAAAGAAGGCGGGAGGGGTGGGGAAGGAAGAGCAGAGAGAGGGAAGGAGGGAGGGGGCGGGGTCTCGGTGTGTACAACAAATTTGGGGGGCAAGACACTTAATACATTTAATAAACACACTTTAATAAATTTTTTAAAAAAAGAATAAAAAACAGGGTGTGCCTGTGGCTCAAAGAGTAGGGGGATGGCCCCAAAAACTGCCAAAAAAAAAAAAAAGGAAGGAATAAAACCAGCTAGTTCTGAAATCATAACTGTCATTTATTATTTCTCTCCTGCATCACTGATTCTAAATTGCACCCGATGATAGAAACTTTCTGTTAGCTCTAATATTTTTCAAAACACCATGACCTGGACAGACACTTTCAGAAGATTTGGTTCAGCCTGGAATCGACCTGTGTCCTCCCCCAAATTCTACTCAGGACAGCTCCTTTACTCTGGCAATGGTTAAAGAAAACCAGTGGACCAAAGAGAAGACAGAGGGCAGGGGAGGGGGAGGAGAAAGAGACCCAGACAGAGACCCACTGAGAGAAAGAGAAAAAGCACAGGGGGGTTCATATGAAGAGGCATAAAAAGGAGAAAAAGAAACTGCATTAGAAAAATAAGACAAAAATAGGCATGTCGGAAGAAGAGTAAAATTAGAAGAAAAATAAGGACTAGGATGCTCTTAATCTTCAAATTACCCCCGGGAAAGGGAAAACTCGAGTTAAACAGCCCCTTCTGCTAAGGAAGGTGGAAAGCCCCAGGGGAGATGGCCCACCTCTCTCTTGCACACAGGAGAGTCAGAGAAGCCCAGAGTGCTGAGGACTAGGAGCCGCCCATCCAGAAGCCCTTCCCCCAGGGTAGGTACAGCTAATCCCACTGATGGCCTCAGGGAGCCGGTGTCCCCAGCAGAGGGAGTGTGGCTGGCTCATGACCTATGCTATCTCCTGAAATGCTAGGCTGCACCAGGGCACCCAAAGTTCCCAGGCAAGAGCTGCTGAGCAGCGGTTCCTACTTTTGGAGCAACCAGCCAGGCCAGTAGCTTCTACAATGGGACTCTTGGGACTTCTGCCAATCCTGGTACCCTTCATCCTCCTGGAGGGCATCCAGGGACCAGGGCGGGTTGAGGGGTTCTTAATCAGTAAGTATTGGGGATCAGTACTTGCAGTGAAGGAAAAGAACTCAATGCAGGGGAAGGAACAGGGAACAATTTCATGGATGAGGAATGTTTTTCTCTGTTTCAGCCTGGGATCGCGGGTGGGCGAGGCCAGTTAGTTGGAATCATTTTTTCAGCCCCCTTCTTCCTGGCAAGCTGCCTTTGCTGAATACAGGAACCCGAGTCTGTGGCAACTGACTCCCCACTGCCATTCTAAGGGCTTCTTCCTGGAGGTGCCTGGGTCTAGATCTCAGGAAATGGACAAGGGATGGAGAAGCCCCTCTCGCCCCTCCCCAGAACCACTCCCATCAGCTCCCAAATCCTCCCATTGCAGCCCCTGAAGATCTCCCCACACCCCTAGAGGATCTTTGCCTTCAGGGTAAAGAACAGTCTCTAGATGTCCCTTGGAACGCTCAAATATGAAGGCCCATAATTAGCAGCTAAAATACACTGAGCACTTAAAAGGGGCTGGGTGCAATGGCTCACGCCTGTAATCCTGTCACTCTGAGAGGTCGAGGGGGGAGGATTGTTTGAATTCAGGAGTTCCAGACCAGTCTGAGCAACAGTGAGACCCGTCTCTGCTAAAAATAGAAAAATTAGCTCGGTGTCGTGGTGGATGCCTGTAGTCCCAGCTCCTCAGGAGACTGAGGCAGAAGGATCTCTTGAACCCAGATGTTGGAGGTTGCTGTGAGCTAGGCTGACACCACGGCACTCTACCCAGGGCAGCAGAGCAAGACTCTGTCTCAAAAAAAAGAAAGGGAGTGCTCAGGAGCCACACATTGTAGTTTCCAACCCTTCCTCCACCCCTTAGGAACTATGTGATCTTGATCTTGAGCAAGTTCACATAACTGCCCTCTGTCTCGGATTCCTTATAATGTGAATATTAATAGCACTCACCCAGAGAGTTCTACTGAGCATAGAGGAGAAAAGGCTGGGCATATAGCAAGTGTCTCTTGGATACCAGTCTTCTTATTTTGCCTCAGGCAGTTTGACAAAGGCTTTTCAAACTTTGTTGCATTAGTCATTAAAACAACCCTATAGGCAAAGGAGGAAATCAAGGTTCAGAGCGGGTACCTGCCATACGAAGGGTTGTGCAAAATTCAAAAGCCCAGCCATCTGATGGCAGAAATGGAGATCTCAACCATCTAAGGCTACAGGGCCTTCCGGGGGACATCCAAGTACAGGAAGGCAGAGTGGCCAGAACAGCCCTAGAGAAAAGTGTCCTTCCCTCTGGAACCCTATGGGTGGCAAGGGTAGGGGGTGATTCAGAGACCAGATGGTGGTCATTACAGGTTGGGGATGTGGGAAATCTGTGAAATTGCTGAGCCCTCTGAGGGTCACTCCCTTCTGGGGACAGGGGCAGTGAAAACAAGTTTTCCTAAGTCTGCAGTGGCACCCTGGGCCTCAGAAGGGAGAGCACTGGCCCCCTTAAGGCCTCAGGGAATTTGTCTTCCCTTCCTGTAGAGATATGCCCCAAAATCCGAGTAAAATGTGAATTTGAAGAAGTGAACCAGTGTACCAAGAACAGACATTGCCCGGAAAACTTGAAGTGCTGCTGGTTGGGCTGTGGAAAGAAATGTGTAGATCTCAGAAAAGGTAACTCAGAGACTGGTGGATTCCCCAGGACTCTCCTCCCCACGCCTGCACTGCCCTGTCCCGCTCCCCCTCCTACTTGGCTGATGGCTGGTCTCTGCCCAAGAGTCTGGGTGCAGCTCCTCCTGGACACAAACCCACCAGGGTGGCACTTGGGACACATGATTTGATTTCCTCTCTTCTCCTATCTTGGTATGAGATACATATACGAGTAATGTAGGTTTTCCTTTCTGGAACTCAGTTTCCCTGTCCAGAAGACAGGTGTGGGTATTGGACCCCATGGTCTGCTGGCTGCTCCTCAGCAATCTTCTGAGGGGCCAAGTAGCCACTGAAGTCCCATCAAATGGCAACACATGTCAGGTTATATGGTAGCTACAGGAGAAAGGGATATGATTTATATTTCCTGGAAAAGGAATGCATGATTTAAGATCTGATGAGGCAAAAGGGGAGGGAATAGCTTGCTAGACCCAGACACCTGCTTGTGCAAAGGCCCTGTGTTAACAGCACCCTCGGGCCTAGAAGGGCAGGAAAGCAGAGAGTAACATGGGCACAGGGGAGAGATGAGAAAGAGGAGGAAGATGAAACTGGACTAGGTGGGGGTGGGGGTTTAGGGGTCCGATCCTGGTTCTAAGAGCAATGGATTATCGACCTTCGAATCCCTTCCCATCCACCTGACCTCAGGAAAGTTACTGAGCCTCTTCAAACTCAATGTCCTTATCTGCATAGTGGGAACAATAAGAGGACCTACTTCATAGGATTAAATGTTAATGTATGTCAAATGCTAAGAACAGTGCTTGGCACTCAGTAAGCGCTATAATTGTTCCCTGTGGTGCAGACTAGGAGATTCTAAAGAAATTGATTTGTACCTCATAGTCCTGTAGGTAAAACAATTGCTTCCTCAATCAATGGTTAAGTCCGGGGTATATTGTTATTTTTTCAAAATATATGAAACTATTCGGGGTATATTATTTTCTAATTGTTTGTTTGTTTGATTGTTTCATTGACTACTCCTTCACCTTATGCCCAATTATCTGCTAGGAACTGTTGTATGACGATGACATAAGACACAATGTCCACCCTCAGAAACCTCACATGCTCACAGAGGAATCAGAAAATATGAATGAAAATTGAAACAGAAGCGAGGCTTGGCACCTGTGGCTCAAGTGGCTAAGGCGCCAGCCACATACACCTAAGGTGGCAGGTTTGAATCCAGCCCAGGCCCGCCAAAAACAACAATGACGGCTGCAACCAAAAAATAGCCCGGCATTAAGGCAGGCACCTGTGGTCCCAGCTACTTGGGAGGCTGAGGCAGGAGACTCGCTTGAGCCCAGGAGTTGGAGGTTGCTGTGAGCTGTGATGTCATGGCACTCTACCCAGGGGGATAGCTTGAGGCTCTGGCTCAAAAACAATAACAACAACGACAAAAAAACCAGAAACAGAAGCAAAGAAAGTGTGTACAAAATGGAGAAGAAGTTAAGAAAAACAAGGGGTAAAAAATGGATTCAGGAAGGGCATCATACAAAAGTTGATATCTGGGAAGGGTTCTCAGGCAGGAACAGGACTGCACCTAGTTAGCAAGACAGGGATGGAAAACCAGTACATTGCACCCCATGATTGCATTAATGTACACAGCTATGATGTAATAAAAAAAAATAAAGGAGAGAGGGATGGACAGTTCAGGCATGTGCAGAGCATGGAGATATGTAAGAAGGTGATGTGTTTAGAGCATGAAGTTCCAAAGGGTGGATGTTCAGGGCAACAGGAGAAATAAAGCCAGAGAGGAGGAGGAGATGGATTATGAAGTCCTTCTGGGTTTTGATAGAACTTGATTTTGAGCCCAATGGCTCAATCATTCTGGAAACCAGTGGGGAGCAGATTAGAGAAGAGAGATCAGCTGGCAGCCTTTCATGGCGGTCCCGACAAAAGATAATGATGTGTGTGTTAAGAAAGTGGCAGAAAGGAGATTCCGGATGGCTATGGAGGAGGCAAATCAGCAAGATTTAGTGCTGAGATGTTGGGGAGGCACAGGAGGAGAGGCCACGTGGTGTCACAGCTGTTTCTCACGGCCGCCCTGCATGACCAGCAGGGTGGGATTTTGTGTTCTTGTCTCACAGCTGAGAAAGTCAAGGACCAGAGAGGCAAAGTGGGTGGTCAAGGATCACACTGAATTGGGAGCAGAGCCCTGAGCCAAACTGGCCTCTCAGTGGAGATGAAGACAAGAGTGTCCCAAGGAAGACAAAGATGGACGTTCTCTAGGGAGACAGGTTCACAAACTTCTATGCTCTGTGATCTCCCTGCAGATATATGCAGTATGCCCCTGGAGGTGGGCATTTGCTACGCCTTCCACACACGCTGGTGGTATAATGAAGAAACTGAGCGCTGCTACTCATTCATCTATGGAGGCTGCAAAGGGAACAATAACAACTTCCAAACTGAAGGAATCTGCATGCTCACCTGCCAAAAAAAATGTAAGTCCTAGGGGTCCCAGCGTCCTGTGATCACCAAGGCCACCAGACTGGGTGTTAGCTGGCCTGTTCCTGGACTTTGATTGGTCTTTGACGGAGCCAGCTCTAATCAGCGGGTACAAATGCACCTTGTAGAGATCTAAGTAGAATAGTTTGGGAAAGACAGGGTGGGCAAGGGAGGCAGTAGTCAAAGGGAAATTGGCAAGTATGAGATGAGCAGTGGGGCAGAGGGAAGGGGGTACAGAATCAAAAATGGGGGGTCCCAGGGCAAATCAGGAGTAGGCCAGTAGGCCCCACCCAGTGCTGGGCACCAGCCAATTGTTATAGGCCTTTACTTCTCACCAAGCTTTGTGGCCAGTTGTCTTCTTTTTTAAGTTAATTTATAGCCAAGGCAACCACATACTTTACTGGCCAAACCAAGACACTTTTTGAGGGTGTTTCAAAGCAGAGTGCCATTAATTCTTACGCAGGGACAACAGGCATCAATTAGACTCTCCTGAACAAATCAGAGCCCAGGATCACTCCATGAGCCCCCAAACTCACCTCCCTATTACTTTTCCTCTGCCGAAAGATACAAAAATGATCCCATCTCCTTTTTTCCATTAACGGCAAGATTGGTTTCCTACAGCGGCGGGAACCTAAGCATCTCACCTTTATTCTTGTATCTCACAGATGCAGCTTCCTGGATGAGATAAGGAGGAGCTGGAACGATCTCTGGGCTTTGGCTCATACTCTCGGGCTCTGTCCAGGTGTGTCTGACTGATGCTCCGTATCGGCTCCCACTGGCTGAATCTCAGCCTCCAAGACCTTGGCAGTTCCAAACACTGAACCCAGGGTTTGCTTGCTCCATTTCCTCCAGCTGAGCTTCTCTTCAGATATAATGCCCTCTGCCCTTTGACCTCGTCTCAGTGGGAGACCCTGCCTCTTCAACTTTCATGGCCCCCATTTATTCCTGCGAGGCCTCCTGTTGCCCCTAATAAAGTGGTCTGATCTCTCTGAGGCTGGCTAATTCTTGCCTGGAATATGCAGGTAAACCCGTCTAGTCATATCTCCCTATGCGCCGTTTTCATAGAACCAGAGGTCATTGGGTTTTCTGGCGACACCAACAAAGGGAGAGGGAAGTACGACGATGCTGCGAATTAAGAACTCTGTTGATACGGTTATCCTGGGAAAATTGCCATAAAAATGCTCAAGAATTGAGCCAGAGCAGATTCAGTCAAGGGTCTTCAAACTTTTGGCTTCTCTGCACCACACTGGATGTAGAAGAGTTGTCCTGGGCCCCACATGAAATACACAAACACAAACAAAAGCTGATGAGTAGGCTCCGCGCCTGTGGCTCAAGCAGCTAAGGCGCCAGCCACATACACCTAAGGTGGCGGGTTTGAATCCCCAGCCCGGCCCACCAAACAACAATGATGGCTGCAACCAAAAAATGGCCAGGCATTGTGGCAGGCGCCTGTGGTCCCAGCTGCTTG